AGTCAAAGAACGGGAGAATTTAAAGATTTAAATTCCTGAAGCAGTTATGACCCTTTACTAATTAAAAATTGAGGAGTAAAAGCGTTCACGTATTCACCACTCAATAGGCATTTCTGAGGATCTGGTATTTTTTCTAGGTGCATATGGCACCAGAGCTATCTGCTTACCAAATATTCACTTTTTGTCGCATATGCAAGTGGTCAATCTAATTCAAGCACTTCAGAAAAATGTATTGTATATATCGCCGCGCTCACTCTAGGCCAGTTTTCGGTCACTTTAAACTCCATTATTGAGATTACTCTTTTTTCCCGTTAAAAAGAGAATGAACCGCAAACTTTGGCAAGAACAATTTCCAAGCAACTTACCTGCAAATAACTGATCTAGTAGGTGTGAATACTAAAGAAACCAAACATCACCACTTTACTTTTATAGGTATTGTGGTCAAGATGATAATATATGTATCTAAAATAGAACGCTCGTATTTAAAGAGGGATAGGTAAAAGTTGTAAAAACAATTTTTATTATTTACTTATGAAACATTCATTTTTCTATACCATCCCCTTCGTGACAATAATATTTTTTCTATTGTGACAAAAATATATTTTTATAAATTGCTAACTGTAAAATTACTTCAGTATGCTTTGAAATCTTATTTGCAACACATAATTTTATCCTCAGGTAGGAGGATACATTCATGATTGGGTAATTATTTCTTACCATTTTGTTTTGAATATTTTTTTCAATTATCTAATTAAAATTAAATTCCTTGCTTGTTAATTAGTCAGTCCATCTGTCTGCTTTTTTAAAAATACTATTCAATGCCGACTTCAGTAAGAACTAGCGGAATAAAATCAATAGGCCTACTTCTTTATTTTAAAAACATAAATACCAACGTACTAGTTCACTTTTTAAAATTTAAATTTACTAAAATAAATTTTTAAAACTCTAATATAAATACCTTTATAATAATAACCTTTCAAATGCACTAAAAATTTTAAACAATCGTGCTTTCATTAAAAAAAGCATTACGCATGAAGTCTATTACATATTTGATCGAAAAATACATTGACTTAACAAATCAGGTCTGTTTTGTTTCGTTTTTTTAAGTGCATTTGAAGATAATAATTATTAAGAATGTATATTTATATATTATTAAATGAGTAGGGCTACGTTAAATAAACCGGGAGTAATCGCCCCAAAACTTTCTCGAATATTCTTACATGATACTACGGGAGATGGCACATCACGATATAGACTTGATTTTTAATCCATTTTTAATTACTTAAACTTTTAAAAATATAATACATTCTCGTAGAAAAAAGAACTGCACGCCAAGTGAACGCCAAAAAAAATGTTAAAATAGTGCGGAATATTATTAGTACTTTATAAATTCATATGCGTTTTTTGAGAAATTGGAAATAGCCTAAATTACTACTTCTGGTCAACGGAAGTTACTCAAACTTTAACAGAAGACCGAGAGTTAGATCTTGTACTTACATGTGAAATTTCATTTATCTATCTGAAATACTACTCAAGTTATAGGCTTTTGAAAAATTAAAAGTAGAAAAAATTACACTTCCGTTTATGTTTATCGGAAATTACTGAAAAGTTGAAACGGATCTACAAATTTGATATAATACTTAAGGGTACACAAGTTATCGTGTTTACAGACACATACAGACACACACACACATACACACACACACAAATGGACAAGATTGTAAAAGTATGTTTTTCCGACTCAGTGAGGTGTAAAACGTCGAGATTTGCAAAAATCTAGGTTTTTTTTGGCACGATTACAATACTTTCTCCATACATTGTATACGAGAAAGTAAAAAAAGAATATATAGGATAAATATTTTTAACCATTTATAATTACTTAAATTTTTTAAAAAGAAAAGAATCTAATTGAAAAAAAAATTGCACACCAAGCGAATGCCAAACAAAATGTGCAAAATAGTGCGGGATATTATTAGTACTTAAGGATTCATGTGCGTTTTTTTTTTTTGAGAAATTGGCAATAGCATAAACTACTACTTCCATTCAGCAAAAATCACTCTATATTTGACAGAAGACAGAGAATTATATCTTTTACGTGTATGTAAAATTTTATTCATCTATCTGAAAAAGTACTTACGTTATAGGCTTTTGTTTTTTCTTGAAAAGAGTATAGAAAATATTTAAAAATTATTACATTACAAAGTTACATCCCCTGTTCATAGACCAAATGACCAAATCTCGTATAATGAGAATTTCATTCGCGGTCACTTTTTAGCCCTCTTAGAGGGCTTTAAGTCTGACCAACAGTTTTTCCATACGGCGTAGTCATCTATAGAGGTGTATAAAAAATTAGCCAGATGTAAAGAAGGTAAGTGCCCTAAAATCCGTTTTGAAATCACCCTCTGTTTCTCCAATAAAATACAAAGATTATATAGGGAAATGCGACTGGTCAGTTTTGACCCATTTAACGAATTTTCCCGGACATGGCGAGTTTTTTGTGACACCCCAAGGCGTTTTCCTACCACCTCACAAAATTTCTAAGTGGGTCGTCGGAGGACATTTTTTTTCATTATATAGCCCAAATAAGGCGCCGGTCGGTCGAGGTCAGTTTTGACCCCCCTCTCCGTCGACTTTTTGGCGAACAGTCACGGGCCGTCGTGTTCTATCGCACCATCGTGCCAAATTTGATGCGCCTGCGGAACCGGGAAGTGCCCTAACGGGCACTTGACCATTTTGCTTTATATATATAGATTAAATGAGTAGGCCTACGTTAAATAAACCGGGAGTAATCGCCCCTAAACTTTCTCGAATATTCTTACATGACACTACGGGAGATGGCACATCATGATATAGACTTGATTTTTAATACATTTTAAATACTTAAACTTTTAAAAATATAATACAATCTCGTAGAAAAAAGAACTGCATGCCGAGTGAACGCCAAATAAAATGTATATAATAGTGCGGAATATTATTAGTATTTTATAAATTCATATGCGTTTTTTGAGAAATTGGAAATAGCCTAAATTACTACTTCTGGTAAACGGAAGTTACTAAACTTTAACAGAAGACGGAGATTTAGATCTTGTACTTACATGTGAAATTTCATTTATCTATCTGAAATTCTGCTCAAGTTATAGCCTTTTGAAAAATTAAAACTAGAAAAATTACACTTCCGTTTATCGGAAATTACTGAAAAGTTGAAACTGATCTACAAATTTGATATAATACTTACGGGTACACAATTTATCGTGTTTACAGACACATACAAAGACACACACACACACACACATACACAAGTGGACAAGATTGCAAAAGTATGTTTTTCCGACTCAGTGAGGTGTAAAACGTCGAGATTTGCAAAAATCTAGGTTTTTTTTTGGCACGATTACAATACTTTCTCTATACATTGTATACGAGAAAGAAAAAAAGAATATACAGGATAAATATTTTTAACCATTTATAATTACTTAAACATTTTAAAATAGAAAAGAATCTCATTGAAAAAAGAATTGCACACCAAGCGAATGCCAAACAAAATGTGCAAAATAGTGAGGGATATTAGTAGTACTTAAGAATTCATGTGCGTTTTTTTTTTGAGAAATTGGCAATAGCGTAAACCACTACTTCCATTCAGCAAAAATCACTCTATATTTGACAGAAGACAGAGAATTATATCTTTTACGTGTATGTAAAATTGTATTCATCTATCCGAAAAAGTACTTAAGTTATAGGCTTTTGAAAAATTCAAAGTAGAAAAAGTTCCATTTCCGGTTATCGGAAATCGCTCAAAAGCTGATACGGATCTACAAATTTGATATAATACTTATATATGAAATTTCATCAACCTAGCTGTAATGGTACTCAAGTTATCGTGTTTACAAACACAACTCCACACATCCACACATCCGGAAAGAATTGCAAAGTCCAGTTTTTCCGATTCGATAACGCGTTAAACGCCGAAATTTTAACAAATCTGGATTTAGCATTTTTGCCCGATTAAAATAAGCCCTCTATACTCCGTTTATGATGAAGTACTGAGAAGTAAAACTGTGGAAACTGTCAAAATTCCATATGATTTTTGTGCACGACTGCGATACTTTCTCTATCTACTGTATACGAGAAAGTAATAAACCGGGAGTGATCTCCCCTAAACTTTCTCGAATATTTTTATATAAAACAACAGGGGATGGCAGTGGATTTTAATCCATTTTAAATACTTAAACTTTTTAAAATAGAATAAAACTCGTAGAAAAAACAATTGCGCACCAAACGAACGCCACACAAAATGTGCATAATGGTGTGGAGTATTATTATTACTTTATAAATGTCATGCGTTTTTTTTTTTAGAAATTGGAAATAACGTAAATTACTGCATCTGGTCAACGGAAATTACATTTTCTTTCAGGTTCCTGCTGCTCGTTCTGCTGCCTTCAACCCCAAATTAGTGAGTAGTTGTGTGGGTTCGCCCAAAAATGACGTCAAATTCTTGGGGGGAGGGGTATTCGAAAGTTTGTTATAAAAAGGAGATAGGAGGTCAGATAGTGTGGCGTGACATTCTTTAAACTTACTTTAGAATCTGACTTTAAGTGTGTTTTCCAATTTTGGAAAACTGTAACAAAGTGATTTATTTTCTCGTTGTTTTCTTTTGTATTTGTATTTGTATTTGTATTTGTATTTGTATTTGTATTTGTATTTGTATTTGTATTTGTATTTGTATTTGTATTTGTATTTGTATTTGTATTTGTATTTGTATTTGTATTTGTATTTGTATTTGTATTGGTATTTGTATTTGTATTTTTGTATTTGTGTTTGTGTTTGTATTTGTATTTGTATTTGTATTTGTATTTGTATTTGTATTTGTATTTGTATTTGTATTTGTATTTGTATTTGTATTTGTATTTGTATTTGTATTTGTATTTGTATTTGTATTTGTATTTGTATTTGTATTTGTATTTGTATTTGTATTTGTATTTGTATTTGTATTTGTATTTGTATTT